GTATGTACATTTGCAAGTATGCCACTTAGGGGTGTCCATTTGCAAAAATACCACTAATTATGGATTTTTAAAGCCTAAATCTTAAAATTAGAAATCCTAAAAAATATTTTGACTCCTAAAACCCCTTAAACCCTCCAAAGTAAATCCTAATACAATAAATTTAACCCAAACATAAATGATATAATAAATTTTTTTTTTGAAAAAATGGCATTTTTGAAAAGTGACACTTGAAAAATGCTATTTTTTGAAATTTCTCAACGTTTTTGTGAATAAACAAGTTACATTTAAGTCTAATTTTTTAAAATTTATATTTTCACATTTAATCATCAATATAAATAACTAATGAAAAAAATTTATTTCATTTGTGACTATACATGGCATTATACATTTTTTGAATATTCACTATTAATAAACATAACAAACTAATTATATGTCATATACATTTTTAAATATTCACTATTCATTTGTGACTATATATGGAATTATAAATGGTATAGGAAATTATTTTTTTTTAATTACCATAACAAATCAATTTTGAGACTTTCTACTGATATTCTTAAAATACGGTATTGACAAAAATTGTAGGATTAACTAATATTTAAGATTTATTGTAGATCCTTCTTTATACGGTATTTGAAAACATAATCTATTATGAAACAAATTTTTTTTTTCTAAAACATCATCTATTAAGATACGAAAAGAGTATTATACAAAGGTCAAAGAAAGCAAAAGTTATTGAAGAATCTTTTAGAGAAGTACATACACTTTCAAAATCTTTGATGGGTTAACCCATACATATCTTAACTTTTTTAGAAGGAAAACCAGTTGCATATTTTGTTTTGCTTACAAAATTTATTTTTGGTACAGAAAAATTAGTAGCAGATGTAAAATTGATGGGAGCAACAAAAGTTAGAGCATGAAATTATAATGGTGTGAAACATCAATTTAGTGTTGCAGAAACACTCATTACTGATCACAAGCTGGTCTTTTAAGATAAAACGGTATGCAACTTACTACGTACCTC